CTCATAAAACCGGGGCTGTGATCAGTACATGAACTGTTTCAACTTCAATTCTTGCCTGTAATTGAATGCGAAAATGAATCCACAGTTTTCCACACACAAAAAATCAAGTGGTTTCAAAGTGAGAAAAAGATACCAACTTTGAAGAACATAATTAGTTAATGCAGAAAAAAAAGCATTCATGGCTGATCCAGTGCGCTTAGTATTCTTGCGTGACCTTTGACCTTAAGCCCTTAGCTCGCTTCTTATTATACCTTTAATTTCTAATTTTCTTTGACAAGTGGCTTCATGCAGGGGTTACATCAGCATACACACACCCGTTGATTGTTACTACTAAAACTAAAATAATGTTTGTTTCTACATACCAAATTTATATGAACTGTTTTTTCTCAATCATGTATGTTGGTTTTCCTTGTAGAGGAAACAAAAATATAAATAACATTTTAGGTAGAGAAGACATGGAAATTTGCAGCTTAAAAATAAAATGTTTGTAATATGAGAAAAGATTCACTGTTCATATTTTTTTTCATTAAGTATTTACATAAATTGTTCGAGAGTTCTAACATCAACCCATAAAAAGAAAACCAGCTCAAAAACCATTTCAATGCGCCATGAAAAGGGCCCAATTTTCCCAGTATGCTTAATAATGGTCATCTTTGACAAGCCCCCCCCCCCTCCCATTTGGAAGATGGGTACCAGCCAGGCCCCCGCCCCCCTTTTTGATTTTACGGAGGCCAAGTGCGGTCCGGAGAAAAAAAGTTGTCTACATTTAGGCAGGGATGTGCTGTTGCCACCCCCCCCCCCCCCCCCGACATCAAAAGCTGGATATGATACTGAAGTAGGAGTGCTATCTCCCTCACTTCAAAACTTTCCATACAAATGTACTCAATTTTAGACTACTATTTTAGACTACTATGGAGAGTCACAAAAATTTTCATAGCATTTTCGTAACAAAATTAGAAATGTTTCTTAGTCCCAGATTCATGTCTTTTCAACATTTTTGCATTGACTGACCCTTCTTGAGATATTTGAAGAAAAAAAGTGGCGTCCGATTGCAACATTCTTTCCCTTCAGAGACCTCTTGTGCGCCCCCCCCCCCCCCCCCCCCCCCCCCCCTTGGGAAAAGGCTGCGCAGTGCAGTCCACACTACGTGTACTGTACACGTTGTTCATGTACATGTATACACGTTCATTGACCACTGCACATCATTTCTAGACGCCTTCAATATATGTGTCAGAAGAAAACAATCAAAACTTTGATTTATGCTCTTGGCGTCAGGGGCTGGCCCGTTGGCCTGTGTTTCAGTAAATTGAAATACTATTGTATGATGTTTATGGCTTTAAAGAAGCGCCAATTTGTAGCCGTGATTTATTATCTGTTGATACCTTCGCACGACAGGACACCATTTCGCATAGCATAACGACATTAGAATGTTTTTGCGAATAACTATTTTATGGGGGCCGACCAACTGTGAAAGTAAAACGGCAAGTGCAGCTCAGCACGAGTCGTACTTTTTTTTTTAGTACAAATTATTGGACGAGCGCCCTCTCTAGCTCTGTAATTGAAAGGTAGAGTTGAAGCTTATAATTATTAGCAAGTCTCTGTCATGTGAGAATTTTCCTCGTTAAAAAGTGCGGGGGGACAAATTTAAAAAAAAACACGCACTTCCAGATGAAATGCACTGTCTAAAGAAAATAGTACAGTGCATGGCTGGAATGCACAGATGTTACAAATGCTAATATCTTAGATTTAGTTTAAGCTCAGTCCAACTGGCCGAAACAACTCAATAATTCTAACACCGACTCAGTTGTATCTTGTAGCGGCTGCCAGCGCAGAACCTGCAGGGCCCATCGATGGTTCTAATTTCAGAAAGAACCAAAATAGTAGGCGATTGTACTCGTAGTATAGGGCTGAAGCTTGGAACCAGCCAGCCTGGTGGAGTGGTATTAAAACGTCTGCACTAGTGGTTAACAGGAGGTCGTGGGTTCGAGTCCCTGCCGAGTAGTTTGTGATTGTTTTTTTTTTCTCACAAGCCCTCGGACAACTTTAAAAAGGCAACGGTTTTGTATCACTAGGATAGGAACTTGAGTATAAGTATGAGCATTCATTGTCACTCAATTATAAACAAAACAAAGAACCCACAACCGGAGGTTTATTTATACAGTGTATACAAAAATACGTCGGTGAAGGACAAAACCCAAAATTGAATCTACATCATTTTGACGCAAATCCATCTTACGAATAGAATGGGTTGAAGCTTGCTATGTCTATAGGTTGAAGCGTTTCTTGTATAAGAAGGCCTTTTTCTGATCAAATAAATAGACAGTGTTGATATTGGTATAACGCCTTAGGCTGAACTCCACTAAAGTTCAAGTGGAGTAATAAAAAAACCAGGTTTTACTGGTAATCTCATCAGGCATTTTGTCGGACGGATGCGACAAATAATTTGCTCCAATGCTCTTGTGTGTTCGTGTCTTGTCTGCCTTTTTGTCGGTTATATCACTTGTGCAGATGATAATGCGGTTTTGTGAATTGTTTTTGAAATCCACCGACGACGTTCTGTGAAACTGACAGGCTTGTCCCTTGCGCCAGAAGCCGGCCATCTGTAGGCCAACATTCCAGGCAGGACGCAGGCGCTATCGACTTATATCGCCGTCTTGAATGTCTCCTTGAACTTCGATCGACAGTGCAGATTGTAAAGAGGCTCCGTAGAGGTAAAGGCACGGTGAAGTGAGGAATTGGGTTACTCAAGAGCCCTTTTGCTGGAGGAAAATGGTTACCGCGGTAGCAGTAAAGTTGGTATAGGCCTATACGTGCGTTTTCACAATTGCGATTTCTTTTCCGAGCGAAATTGAAAGGAAGATAATGTCCTGTAACAAAAACATTGCTTTTTTTGTTTTTGTAGGTCTTTATACAGTTTTAAAAATTGGTTTTATATTGCGCGCTCCAGTTCAGAAATTGCGCACACTATTCAGAACGAATTAGGAGCGTCCCGCTATATTCAAAAAAAGTTTATTTTAATTAATTGATTACTTGTCATGGGCCGATTGTTTTCGTGCGATGTCTCATTGGAAAGCACATAACTAATGTAGTGCAAGAAAATTATCAATTCAATTTGAAAATCTATTTTTCAATGTGCCACACCAAAAAAGCACGGTGTAGGGCTATAGGCGTATACACCAACTTTAAGTTGCTCTTCCCAAGTTTCACCGCGAAAAAAGTAGGCCTACGGCGTTTCTTTTAAAGTTTCTTCTTTTGACTTGTTGTTTTCGAGCATTTCAAGATTTATCCGCCAACGTTTAGTCGTAGAATGAGTACTTTACAAATTTCGAAAGCAAGCCGAAATAGAAATGAACAAAATAGAAAAAAGAGGTGTTTTTTTTTCGTTTTTTTTTCTCGAGCGAGTGGGGACAACTTGAATTTAGTAAGCTGTCCAAAGAGTCATGGGAAAAACAAATAGGCCCTTGATAAGTGTAGAACGAATTAAGTTTAAAATTGTGAATTCAAACGATCTAGTTCGCTTACAATTATTGTTCCTAATATTTTTCCAGGACAGAGAGCATGGAAAATATTGCATCTATACTAGTAATGAACCATCTTGTTGATGCACTGAACAATAACTCGGGAAAAATGACGATGCCGTCACGTCACATCATCGAATACATTCCCACATCATTCCCCGAAATGTCCCGTAATCGGACAACGCTTCGCATTTACTGAAAGATGGAAAAGAAAAAAGTTGCCCAACAACCCGGTAGGGGATCCAAGCCCTGTGACGTCACCAAGTTGACGGCCATGATTAATGCCGCGCTGCTGTCTATTGAACTCCCGCTGTGACATCTATATCATATCATTGGCAGTATTCGGGAGACTACACCACAGCATTTCTTTTTTGTATCGGTGTCCTTAATTCAGACGGAAAGAATCCTCATGTTAACTTGATTTGTAATGCAGTATGTGTTGTACTAAACACGAGAAACTTGCTATTAATAGTGACTCATTGAAAAGGCATTAACAACATGGTGAATGACATCAAATTGTTCAGACGCACCGAAATTTTCCTCAAAACCCAAGCACGTAGCACATTTATTTCAGCCTGTATGTGTTTAACAAAAAACTTAGAATAACGAACACTCAAAACAAAATCATTGACACTAAATTTATGAACATCTATTTATAATCGAATAAGAATTTAATCAACCAATCGCAAACAATTTTTAAGCGCACTTGATTGGTCAATGAGTTGTCTTTGAAAACTTGGGGGCCATGTTCAAATTGGAAGCAGAAAAACAATTTTACTTTGGTTAAGCAAACACATGTAGTCAATCCCCCACCGCCGCATTACCGCACACACAAGCTAGCTCCTTAATTGAATGACAAATCAAAACGTGATTTACAATAGCTGAACGCTACACATATCCTACCAAATTCTGTACTCTTTGCCATTTTATTAACCTGTGAAAATTTGACAATGAACAAGGTTTTCATTAAAAAAAGAAGAAAAACAAAGATTGTTCATGTATTATGCGAGAGGTGCATTTTTTTTTATAAACAAATTACTTCACTTTTTATTTATTTATAAAAACGAGAGCCCGGTCTTTCGTTTATTCTGGTCGCATAGTACGCATAATAATAGTTAGTTTTTTTCGACACTTCTTAGTTGAAAATTAATTATTATAACAAAGAACTGATGCTAAATATGAACCGGCTGTAACAAAAGAGCAATGTCATGCATGAAAAGGTTCACATTTTCCTGAAGCCCACGTAGGTCTCTTGGTATTTCCACAGAGGACAGACATCACAACAAAATTCCAGAAAACCTTGGTGGTAGGTTTGTGTAAACAGTAACGACAAAAGACCAACATTCCAGGCAGGTTTTTAGGCATGTCGCCGTTTGCAAATAAAATAATATTAATCATAATAAATAAGATTATTATTTTAAGTTGTTGATTACAGATTTATCTGAAGAACTGCAAGTTTTGGGGGACAACCAACAGATTACAGACCCCGCGAACAGTGCACAACTTCACATCAAACGCAGTGAGGTGTAACACAGTGTATCACATGGCGCTAGTACACAGTTAACTTCTTGTTTCTTTTGACGACACATAATCGAGTTCGATCGGTATTCAAAATAGAGACGTCTAGAAAAGACGTGCGTGCAAAGCCTACAAGCCCGTCCGAAGACAATTTTTCCCACCGCAAAACAGTTGGAAATTTCCTGTTACGACATCAGGGTTACCCTGAAGTTGAACTGTGGTAACAAACTAGCGATAGCTCGGAGGACTTGGATGGGCAAAATATTGGTTTTTCTGCGAACAAAATGTGAAGGAGTTCGGTAACATGCGACTACCTAAATGTAATGCATAGACTGTATGCATGCGTTATTATTAGCGGGCGTGTTTTTTCTGTGTACACGTTCATTCAATGCAAGCGGTGAACTTTGGAATCTTGAGGCACAACAAACTCGCCAATAAACCACCACTCGACTGAGCTGAGAGGAAAACTTTGACGACAAGATGGCGGATTACAGAGCCAGAAGGCGTGGCAGGCTCAGTCCCGAGAACAACGGGGAAGCAGATAATCTGGACACATCGCCTGGGTCTTCATCAAAGTTGGAAGTAGCCGGCGAGAGCCGGGTAGCTGCCCGGCGCAGGGATCGAGCGGCAGCCGCCGGTGCAGACGCCGGGTCGCCCGGGGAAGCCGATGCAGACAGCCGCGGTGCGACCGGCGGGGCCGCTGGTGGTGGAGGCCGGAGATTGAAGGACAAGAAAGGCACGGAAACGTCCAAATCCGGAAGGTTTGCTCAAAGGAAAACCCGGGAAAAGAGACGGGGCACGGGTGTTGTTGTACTACAGGTGGGTATTGCATTAGAAATCAAACGTTTTTGTGTAAACCGATGTTGTGCTGCTGCTGGGCAGCTGGGCAGCTGGGCAGCTGGGCAGTATTAACGTCACACGGGAGGGGAGGGGGAGGGGCAACTGCCAAAGTAATTAATGTTTGTGTAAAATTTAATATCCTAACAAAGTTTATCTCACCTCATTGTATTAAACCTCATTGATGACCAGTCATTGCTAATTACTAATTAGTAATATATTCATGAATATATGGAAGTATAAATTGGATAAATATTTCCTGCGTGCCTGTAGTACTTGGGGCGGGGTTGTGTACATCTCTCCAACTTGTCCAAGTCACACAAAAAAGACAAATTTAACAAAATATTACAATGACTGGTGATTTAAATTTGGTTGAGCTGTCCATTGGCTGAACATTCAAATTGCATCTACCCTTTAACCCTTTTCTATTTTTACAGCAACTTGACAGCACTCAGTCAGATTAGACTGTAATATATGACCATGTGACCTCAGATGTGACTTCATGCAATGGGTTTCATGCTGAGATGTGCTGAGGGCATGCGCTTGTGAAGGGGGGGGGGGCAATTGTGAACAGACGCTAGCTAGTGGGTACCGGAAAAGTATTGCTCCTGTAGTGCTCACTGTACATTCTGGATAACTTCAGAGTGGCCCTTGCTAAATTTTCTGGAGAAAATTGTGACCACTGACCAGCATTGATTCTCTCAACCGTTACCTCATGTCATGACGTACAATAACATTCCACATGTAAAAAGTATACATTTGTACATGCAGTGGGTATCTGTGGAAAAATAAATGTTCACACCCACCCACTCACATACTTGCAGTTCATGCAGTCCCCCTTTAATTGATGCCCATGTGGTGCCAAGTGCGGGATATATATAAAGTCTCTGTGGTATCCTGGCACACAAAACCAGCCAAATATATATTTGGTTTGAGACTTTTAATAGACCTCAGGAGGAGTTCAGGAGAGTGCTGCCAATAACATTAGAGATCCCATTCTACTGGTCTATTGGATTAAAGTTATAAACTGGTAACACAAAACTCTCCCGTCTTGTCTGTCCTGTAAAAGGATAATCCTATCCTTGGTTCCTGTGCAGGGTTTGCTCCTTCGAAGCACCCAAAAGCTTAAAGCACCCTCTCAAATGATATTTGCTGGATCTGAAGGGTCATTCCAATGTCTTCTGGCAGACTGTTCACTGTCTAACTGAATGACTGACCGACAAAGTGTGAGACACTGAGTTATAAATATAATCATCTAAACTGCAGTCAAACTTTTTGGTCAAGCCCAAAGTCAAGTTTGTTAGCAATGTGTGTTGAAGATAAAACAGCTTGGGGCACGTCCCTTTATTTGAAAAACAGACATGGTGAAAAAACATCAGCTGTGAACAAAAAATTAGAAAATACTCATCTTTGAATGTGAAGTGTCACAATGTAAAATGGTAGGTTAGGGCCCCCCCCCCCCATTACTTGCAGTTGAAACTTTTTTGTCTGAAATTCTAGTTTGCCACACACATTAAATTAAAGGAACCAACATGGCAGCCATATTCCAGAAATAGTTTTCTAAACCAAAGCGTCTGCGTCAGGTCTAGCCCCGGCCCATTCCTCTTCCATGCGACTTCCTGATTGTGAGTCACTCAGTATGTGGGATCATCACCGGGGACAAGATGTGACAGGGGACTCTTCCTGTAGGAGCAAACATGTACATGAAGGAGAGAGCATTTATAAAGGCTTTCTGGCATCAACATTTTTGTGGTTTTCAAATCCAATCCTGCCATTTGCCTTAGGTAGAGGTAGGCAGTGCAAGTAAGTGTGACGGAGACCTTGGTAAACTTACACGTACTGTATACCTGCATTCTTCTCATAATATAAAAGTTGTATGAAGAAAGCGAGGACATCTGGAGGTTTTAACTGTTCAAAGTGCTTGCTTGTTTCTAAGGGATATTCGTTTGTTATTGTTCCATTAAATGTACGCCACGCTATCCACATTTAAAATTTCTGCAACAGCTACAGTAGTTTCTACTTTTTAAAGATATATGCTGCATGTTTAACCCTACCTTGACATTTTTCTTAAATCCTCCCAAACTTTCCACTTTGCAGGAAACCAAAGCAATAAGTTCATTGTACATTACACAGTCCTTCTGATTTGAGGCGTGCGATCACACCCCCACGCCATCACACGCCCAAAAGCTTCCCGAGAAGTGCGAATAATCACACGCCTAAATCCCTCTATACCACACACCTTGGCATACATTCACGGCATATGTACCTGTACTTCATAATTTATGAGAAAAAAAGTATGTCGCTGAAGAGAAAACGGCTTTTATTTATAAACCAAGATGAACAGTACATGTATTAAAAAGAAATTCCAGATTGTTCAGTCCCAGCTTGGCCCACAGAATCACTCGCCTAGAAAAATCATACGCCCAGATAAATCACCCGCCTAGAAAAATCCAGGTGTGCCTTTTTCCACACGCCTGTGATTTTCAAATCAGAAGGACTGATTACACTTTAAAGTCTGTAGGCATTCAAGTGGCATCAGACCAATGTAAAGTAATGGTAGATGACCTCAGCTTTAAAACATGTACCTTTCTCACTTTTTCTCTGTAGCTGCACAAGATGGTTAATAACTAGCTTTTTCTCCCCAGACTCATGGGATGAGTTGACTTTCAGATAATTTGTAGATTTTTGGAAGTGGATGAATTGTAGATTTGGCACAGAATCTGTATCATCAAAAGAGTAATCACTGCTCCAGATTGAGCCATTGTACACTTGTGAACCAACCCCTCACTGACTGTATTAAAAGGACCACTTTACTTAATTGGAAGAGAACTATGATTGGAAAGAGCTGAAGTGAATCCCAATGAATGCAACATGTCCTGGTGTTGTGATTGGGTTTGCCAGATTTTTCAATTGGAGAGTTTTAACTCTGTGACCAAAGCTTTCAAGGATTACCGGGTAGCTAGTTTAGAAAAATCTTAGGATTGCATTTGCAGTGGAGGGGGGGGGGGGGGTGCTAAGGGCTTTCAAGGGGATTCTAAAATCCCTGTGTATTGTACAAAATGTGGTGTGGATTTGAGTGAAGATACTTGCTTTATCCTTGAACTATTTGCATGATAGTCATAGTCCCTAGCCGCAGACATTAAACTTTAAAGTGAATATACATCATTTGCTTTTGCAGTAATTTTCACTTCAGAAATGGATGGATTTGGGGGGGTTGCTAATATATATAGCAAATCTTCTTACACTGACTTTTTTGACGTTTTGGGTTCATAGATGCTATAAAAACCAAGAAAAACAATAATTTTCATATAGTCTGGTTCCTTGACTCCATTTAAGATGAAACGGAGCAATTTATAGACGGGGAATTGTATGGTCAGGGAACCAGTCTAGCTGGCTTGTAGCCTACCCGTTCACAGGTGTGTAATCGATTGAAAACAAATGCGGACTAATTAAATATGCTAAATTGGGGCCAGTATTTGAAAAAAAAACCAGTCGTTCACTAACAGTCCAGCAAGGTAATTCATAATATATACGATCTAAATAAATACGATAATTTTATTTTTTGATGTTTGCAAATGTTGTATTTCCCTTTAAGACTAGAAAATGAAAGGCGTACATGTAGGACCATTTTGCGTTTCATGCATTTTCTTCATTTCCAACAATAACAATAGAAGAATGTTCAAAACCTAACCATTTGAAGTTTCAGCTCAGTGGATATTACACTTTTTTAGAAAAGGGAAAAACCACGCACAACCTTTGAATTTGATCACAAAACACGATTTTTTGTACATACATACATGCACATGTAGCACTCTTCGTTTAAAAAAAACCCAGTCAATTCACATATCATTGGAACTGGAAGTCACGGTCTACGTTTCTTGATTTCTTCTAAATGACAGCAAGCCAGACAGAATAATTTCACAGGACCAGTACAATCTTTTAATCCAATTGTGCTTTTTGATAACAACTCGGTAGGTTACTTTTGGGATAAATGCAAATTATCCTATTATGCCTTTAAGGTTGGTTGGATGCGAATGGACGCAGAATTTTGCATGATTGCAGAGGCAAAAAGCCCGATAGTTCATGTGTGCAAACACCACAAACCCCACCGGCACTACTCATGTTTATATGAATCTTTAGTACACGTCAGTCAAATGTGAATACAACCACAGAATAGAAGTAACAAGCACACAGTGAACAACTTTGCTGGTAATGTGCAGCTTGATTTCACTCAAAAAGGAAAAAAAAAAACTCAAAAGAAGACCTTCACAATAGAAGGCAAATTTATCCCTGACAAAAGGTCTACATAGTTGGAGAACAAAAGCTACAGGCTCAGTCAGGGACATTGTAGCCATTTAGTTGAAAGAGCAAATTCCAAAGATACTGCTCTTTTTACAAGTGGAATGTCAAACAAAACACTCTTTCTTTTTATTGGTTGCATAATGCTTCGAGTTGGTACACAATTTTGAAACTAAGCAATTTCCTCATACTCCCTGTAAAAAACTCCATCAATTTACAAACAAAATGTTTAGTCATAGTTGCAAGGAAAGTTAGCTTCATAAAATACACTTTTAGTTATTGATGCACTATGTTCAAGAACTTATTCACATAAAAAATTTGAAAAATAAAACTGTATAACAAGTGGACAAAAATTGTACAAAATGTTTCAGTTTTAGCATACATGTATGAATTAAAACAAACGTTGTAAACTTAATATCTGGGATACCGTAGTTTAAACTTTCAGCATGCACATTGTCATGATGTATCTGTTGTACATGTAGTATGATTTCAGAAAATGTCAAATGTTAAGTTTGTATATTGTTGCAGTGAACTCAAATGTACGTCACTCATACTTGACAGTACATATAAACCAATGTGCATGCACATTTTACCAATGAATTGCTTTTGAATCGGATATTCATCAATTAAAAAAAAATACAGGTAAAAGTTAAAGACATAATCATGTTCAACGCCCTCCAGCTTACTGATGCTATAGTGCAATAAGTTAACAAATGTTTTGAAAACTTTAGCAAGTTGCTTGGAGGTTTCGAACACATGCATTTTATTACATATCAGGACAAAAAGTTACTTGCCAGGCAATTTAAAATTAAAAATCTGCCTGACCAGATATAAATTTGTTATATTTTTGAGTTTCACAAGCCCTACACAACTTTTCAAAATTTCTTGTCTTTTGTCTTCCACCACATGTAACGCTTGCCATCAATCATCACTGATTGATTGGCTGCACATGTAGACACAAAAGAATTTATTGGCCAAATCATATGCCAAAGTTTGACACACACCCACAGGAAAAAAAAAATTGCGTCAGGAACAAATCACAATAATTCATACCGTCCAGAATTTCATTGTTCCTGAACTGAACAACATGAAAACTCATAACATGTGCAACACATCCTTTAAAACTCTCTTTCCCCATTTCTTTCCCCTTCTGAAATGTCCACTGCTTGCAGACCATGAATGCATTCAGTAGCCAGCCAGAGGCTTTTGGGTAAATATATGCTGACTGGGTTGACAAAGGAAAATGTCCTTGGAAGTAAAATCCTGTAGTGACACTGGTGCAAAGTATGTGCTCTCGTGCTCTGGGAGGGTTCTGGGGAAACCTTGTACTGAGGCACCCAAACGGTTCCGGGATTAGTGAAATAACAGAAGGGTACCTGTACATGATGAATACATTAAAATATAAATCCCAGTGAGTTTTCAGGATGCCATTGTTGAACAGAGAAAAGTGAATATCCTCAACGAAAAATCTGCACACGCTTTTTGTGTACAAAGCTTTCAAGCTAATGAGTTTTTCAAAATGTCTGAAATATGGGTATTGGGAAACCTTTATTAAAGCCAGAGTCCATCATTTGCAGCTATCCCAAAAGTAACTGGCGTAATTATTGTTGAAAAACATACTTGGTTGAAAGATAGTAAGGGGACTAGACTCCCTGTGAAATTATTCTTTCTGGCCAGCTGTCATTTTGAAGAAATCAACGAAAGAAGGCCTTTCCAATGGTGCGTCTTAAGAAGCACCTTTGGAAATTTCTGTTAGTAGTTCATTTTTTTATGCGTTGACACGATGCACACGCACGCGCAGTTGCTATAATTCGTCGGATTGGTGCACAACATCGCGTAGAGCTCGGCTCAGTGAGAACATGTCTCAGACGCTGAATTCAGGCCCAATTCAAAACATGATTCAGCAACTTTTGGTTGGAAATCGAGATCCTAGAATGTTGTTTTTCTCGAAATATACAGCTGAAACTGAGCTGAAACTTCATCAGGTTAGTTGTTCAGCACCCTTCTTTAGATTTTGAGCACTTTTGTTGCTTCAAACGAACAAAATGCACAAATTACAAATGATGGACTATACCTTAATTGAACGGCTTGTGTTACCGGTACAACACTTCAAAATGTCTTGCACAAGTACATAGTTACATACATGTACAATGTACATGTAGAGGTAATAATAATAATAGTGGCATCTTATTAAGCGCAACAGGTCCATCACTCAGTGACGCTCATGGCGCTGTATACAAATTACAATGAGTAAATACAAACTACAAAATTTATACTAAATTAGTAAATGCTAGGTACATGTACATGTATACATACTGGTACCGTACCGGTACATCTTTAGACATGCATCAAACTGTGTACACGATGAAGAATAATTGTTTTGAAAATATTCAAACAAATATTCATACAAATACATTGCTAAAGTCGAGAGGTGGTACATACCGGTATGTACAGGCTGCACTGTAAAAGTTTGAACTCATTTAATGGGTTTTCAATTTCAGTTCAAATCTGACGAGAAATTAAAAAATGTAGTGGCTACCATAACCTTTAGTACAACATGTTCACATTTCAAAATGTAAATTGTAAATTATCTTCCTATTGGAAATGTTGAACTCTCTCTAAAACATCATAGGCAGTGTCCGAATTACTTAGCCCCGGCTTGGAATTACGCACGGTCTATGGTAGCGGCTGCAGCCACTTCCCATAGACTCGTGTGTAAGTTCAAGCCGTAGCCAAGTACATTGTAATTCGGACACGAACATCAGTGAAAACATACATGTTGTTTCATTAAGGACAAAGAAAACTGTTTGTGTTTGGAACATTCCTAAATCCAGACCTTGTCTCCACCATGTAGAAACTAAGGCAAATATGGTATGGTCTGGTATGTGCGCGCGTCGTGGTTGCCATGCGCGTCGGCAAAATTAAAAAGTTTTTTTTTCAATGTAAGATGATGTCTCAAAACCGCCAAACTCACTGGTTTGACTTAAATCCTGCTGCTGCCCAATTCTAACGTGTTTTTAGATGGGGTTACGATCGAGTATTTAAAGGGAATGTTCATCATTGGCTTTTGCTGTAATTTTCAGAAATGAACTATTTGGGGGTTAGTATAATAGATCAAATATTATTACACTGACATGTTTGAAGTTTTGTGTTCGAAAATGCTGGAAAAACCAAGAAAAACAAAAATATTCAAGTAGTCTGGTTCCCTGACTCCACTAAAGATGAAATGGATCAAACATACCGGAAAATTGTAAGGTAAGGGAACCAGTCTAGGTGGCCTGCACCCGTTCATGAGCATGGAACCAATAGCTAGCAAAACAAAATTTAGACTAAAAAAAAAAATGGTAAATTTGGTGCAGTTATTGAAAAATAGTTAGGTTTTTCCAACGGTGGTCGGCCGACCAGCGTTGGAAATGTAAATTTACCATTTTCTTGAAAATGGCTTCACACCAGGTGCCATAATTTTACAGGATGCTTAAGCATGTCATTTACCAATATCCTAGTAAGGTATTTTGTTACAACTTGGTAGTTTTATTTTTCGATGTTTGCAAATGTTGTATTTTCCCTTTAAGCTTTATGTGGCCTCTCTGCATAGGCGCCCATATATTTTGCACTAAATTTAGTCGGGCTACTCGGGCACCATTTGCACACGGTGTTGTAATTTTGTAATTGTGCATCTGGAAGCCAGACTGAGGGAGCGATGGTCATGCATCTGGAACCTTTAAACCCCTTTTAATTAGCGCGATATGTGCTGACTAATGACCAGCCTGGCAGCTCATGCAACATGTCATTGTCACTGTAGGTCAGACGTTACTGTTTTTCCTGATTTTTGTCTTGACTTTTTTATCAAAATTTCTAGAAGAATGTTCGTGTCGGTCGAGATCGTATAGAGTGCAGACTTCTCAAGCCTTATGGCCTGACTGAGGTCACCTCAAGCTCCACTCTTAAGGATATTTTTGAGAGTTTTAAGGGAATCGAAGTGTCATCTGTAACATCAGCCGACATTTGATGAAAAAAAAGTAGGGTAAAAAAAACAACAAAAAAAACGTTGCCGCACCACTTTTGGGGCAAGCTCCATACCAGAAACCAGATACTTTTTTGGGGCCTAATGGCACATTCTTTTGACTGTAATTTTTGCTTCAGGTGCATACCTATGTTCCCCAATACCTATGTTCCCCAACCCTAATCCTAACCCTAACCCTAAGGATTTTGGGGAACATAGGTATTGGGGAACATAGGTATTGGAGAACATCGGGTAGACCCCTGAGTTGCTTCATAGCAATGATTTCTGTTGTTTTGTTTCCCTCTTATATCCAGGATGAAGATACTACTAACGCTACAGCCAACGTCAAAGCCAACACAGACTACAATGAGGAAATTACAAAGAAAGACGATCACAATGGAACAACTAATTCCTATGAGGTATGATTGGAGTCAAAACATCACTTTTAAGTTGGGCTCATTTAGAGTCACTGATTTAAATTGTTGCTTTTAAAGAGTCTTTTTAATTTGTTCAAATTCGTCAAGATCAAAGTCAAATGTAGAGCTTTTGTCTATAATTTAAAAGACATTTTCGGACGAAATTGTGATTTTTTTAAAAATTATTTTGGGCCATGTTCACTTTTCGTCCACTGCATGTCACACATAGTTGAACAGGAAACAGGTTGTTTTGGTAAAAAGATTTTGCGGTTGAAAAAGATTTTGCGGTTGAAAAAGATTTTGCGGTTGAAAAAGATTTGAGTTGTCAACTCATACGGAAAATGGCCAACTTCAAAGCGGAAAATCCTTTGAATCAGTGCTCAGCCGTTCATGATTCATAAATGTTTAAACAGGTTTTCAACTCGGCAAAACAATTACCGGTACTGGACATTTTAACAGTTTCCAGTAGAAAAAAAAAAATTTGTATCCGCGATGTACCGGTTTTCGAGGGTGTAAGGATTTATTTCAAGCAGGAGAAAAACACCGACATAGCCTTGGGTTTCCAAATTTTTTGGGCTGGCCTTGGAACACCTACCGCACACGCAACAAATTGTGTGGTATGAATCTAGGTGTGTGTGTCAAACCTCGAAAACTTGATGCCAGGAAAACAGGTCCACAAACAATACTTGAGGGGAAATTTACTGACTACACTGATGATGTTGACCTGTATGTGACCGTGGTTGCTAAACATTGCAGAGAAATAAAACTTGGACCTGGAAAGTTGATTGAAATAAATTCTGTGCATGATATATCAATTACTGGTACATGCATACATGTACATGTACATACACAACTGCATGTATGTTCTTGTATAACGTTCGTGATGGAGAGCAGCAAAGCCGAATTATCATGGTGATTTATTAAAGCTGATCATCTACAGAATGTTTTTACAATGTGTTCAGAATTGTCAGGAGTGGGAAGGTGATATTCAACTGGTCGTGACATTTGGAGATTTGCTGCAGGCTCGAAAGTCTAGCCTCACATGCAGATGTATGGCTTTCATTGTGCATTCGTGGTCACTTGATCTGTACGGTGCACATGATCTATGATTGGACGTTATGATTTTCTTAGAACTTGAATCGCTCAATCAAGAAATTGTATTAATTTGACAGATTGGATCGTGCAAAAACTGCACAGGGATGTAAACTTCCAGACTCATAGCATCCTGCTGTAAGGTCCTGTTTTACAAACCGGAAAACTTTGCAAGGTCCGCAAAAGGGAACATTGCTTTCCCACATTTGCCAAAAGCAAGGACATGTTCAATGTACTTTATTCTTCATGGACACAGCTTTTTACAAGTACATGTGCTGGGGGAGTTTGGGTCAAGGTATACAGTACTTCTAGATTTTTTTTAGAATTTTGGGTCGATCAGGAAGGATTCTGTGTGGCAAAAGTTCTCGGGAGTCAGGAGTAAGGGTTAAACCCTCCTGCTGTCTGAACAGTCACAGACAGTCAAAAAATCAATCCTCTTCCCTGCCATGCCTTTAACACAGGCTAGTCACCAACAGTCAGTTCATATTTTAAACAAGCACTGCGACTGATCAAATTCAGGCAAGTGGTAGGCACAGCTGTCTTATCAATCATCTACAGTCAAAGCATAGCTGTATCAAGTTATATAAACAGTCACATCCAGCCAATCCTGCTTCATGTAGGCTGGGAGCTCGTAACTGTTAAAAACAGTCACTTGATTGATTTTGACTAAAAGGACAACTTTGCACAGAATGTATTGAGGGTTAATTAATGCAATAGAATGGTTTAATCACTTGCTAGTTTTCTGGCAATATGGGCTAAATGTTATTCACTTTTGAATGAGACACCGAAAGAAAAAATCCACGAATGTTTTGTTGTTTTTATTTCCTCATAAAAATTTTAATTATTAGCTGCCAGACAATGATTCGGTTCTTGCAGGTTGGGTTCATTTGTGCACAAAATTAAAGCCTTTTGCAAATGCCCAAAATTGGGAGGAAAAAAATTGTTTTCTTTTCGTTGAAACAAAACATACAAAATTGAAAACTTTGTTAGGAGAACAAAAATCTATTTTGCGAAGAGCACGGGTCACACATCTTTAAGAATCTGCAGTGTAGAATCTAAACCGCAGTCCCCTCTCGATTTTAATTTGTAAAATTACCTCAGTCCTTGAACAGTTTGCAGTCAGCTCTATAATTAAACATGAAAAGTGTGTATGAATTCCTGATTTGAATATTGGTTCCATTGATGTACCATTCAGAAACCCCACAAAGTTTGTTCTGGGCAGTTGCCCTGCACACGCCGGGCCGACACAGGAATGAGTAATTTCCATCAACCAGTCGGCAATTTTTTGTTGAAAGCCCAACCGACTAAACTAATTTCCGTTCAATCACCCTCCTCCTTGATATTCAAGATGTTGTCCTTGTGCAGCACAGAGAGGGTTCCCTGCTAACAATGTAAGAGTGTCGCAGTTTCAGAGGCATCCCTAGATCTGTAGACCCGTGCTCTAGTTTATTAATGCCACATTGGCCCAAATGGAACATGTCATACCATAGAACATCCCCGTGACGTCATAACTGTCATGCGATGTTCATCATCTGTTAGATCGGGGCTCATGTGTCAAGATGTCTTGAAAGCCCTGGGGGGGGGGGGGGGGGGCTTGGGCTTGTTGGTTGAAACTTGGTCTGATGTACAGAAGCAGCTCCACACGCACTTAGTTGAGTGCATCACTGAATTGTCATTGCTTTCTTCATTTTTCTAAGTAAACTCTAAATGAAAACTACATGTAGAGCTGTATCGTCACCGACACAACGAAGTAACACTCCACGTGTTAAAGCAAATTGTTTTTGATTTTCAGTTTTTTACATTTTTAAATTTTTTTTATCAAGGCCTACCATTGCACGAAGTTTCAAAGCTTCAAGAGCTTTACTTAACTAATTACGCTAATGTGGCAACTTTTGCGCAAAAGTGACAATTTTTGTTTTCACGAAGTAACACTCAAGTTCCATTTACCATTCCAATGCATGGCGCGCACTCTGCTCAAATGTGAGCAAAAACGTTTTCACGAAGTAACACTCTCCTTGTATGAGCGCGCGAGCGCTGACCTGAAGTTGCACTTTCCTTGTGTTGTATACATTGAAGAGTGTTACTTCGTGAAAATGAAAATTTACAGTTTCACAGCTTTTTCGGTTTCACGAACTAACACTCACCATTTTTTCCTCTTATTTCTTGTTGATTTAATAACACAAACAGGTGAAAAAAACAGCAGATTTAATAAATTCAATTCATCAAGTGTCCACAACAAGAAACCCAACTGAAAATACTCTGCCGTTTTGACACAAAGTGTCGTTTTAGAAGGCGTTCAACTTTAGATGCCGTTTTCTCCGAATGCTAGTTTTTACTGGTATGTACATGGGTGTTACTTCGTGGTGTTGCTGACACAGTATGTCTGTTTGAAAACAGAACACAGGGCTTTTTCGCATTTTACAAATGTGTATGTTTCGTTGGTCCTTTTGCAGTCACTCTTTAGAGTGCTTCATGCAGTTACAGCTTGTTCAAAATGCTTAGAATAATTCCTCAAATATAATTTTATCACATGACGCCACATGCCCTGCAATGACAACATCTTGATAACACTTGTCAATTGACATTTTTGCATTGTGGTCTTGGTTTGTACCAAGTTTGAAGTCAATCCGATGTAAGAAAGTGTTAAATTTTGGGAGCGAAATAAAATTGTAAATATTAAAAAAATCATAAAAAATCAAACGATGACGTCAGCGTGACATCACTAAGGACTTTGCATACTACCGGTAGTACCATTATCTACGGTACCTGCCCTCCAAGTTTCATGACGATTGGACCTTCCCTTATCTCTATTTTAAAAAATCGCATTTTTTGATGAAGTCATTATGACATTACACATTTTGCAAAATTTTGTGCATATACCTATTAACTAACAAACCAAATACAAAAAGAATTTTTAATTTTGCAAGTTGCGTTCGTGAGATATGGCTTAAAGGTTCCAAAATTCAAAAATTCATATAAAATTGCACGATGACCTCATCATGACATCACCTCAATTTTTACCTACGGTATAACACATCCCGGTCTACCCGCATACTGAGTTTCAACCCAATCGGACTTACAGTTCTGTAGATATAGCACTTCAAAATATGCACGTTTGTGATGACGTCACGTGACCCATGATGATAATCATGATGTCACTCTTCGGGACACAACTTTGCCATAAGGACAATGCATGCTTAATTTGATTGATGTACGACAAAGTTGAATGCCAAAAGTGGCGGGTACTAAAATCATGTACAAAGTCTATAGGTTTTTGCATGGAACAAAAAGAAGACCCCCCCCCCAAAAAAAAATCAGAACAAAAACAAAGGCTTTTTCGCAAATTTGCGAAAAAGCCAACAATCATTGAGCTACATGTAGGGCTGTCCCACATATATATACCAAATATTCGAAAATATTTGTTCATCAATCGAACATTCAAATAGCTTTTTGCCAGTTTGAATATTCAAAAAGAAAAAACTATGCACGTGCACACACGACTGTGATGTTGTTTTAATCATATAGTTGTGTTTTGTATTGTTAGATGCCACTTTTTTGTTGACGGTAATGAAATACTAAATTATTTGAAAATGGACAGCCCTACATTGAGCTCAGAAAGTTTTGGTAGTACCAACACACCCCCCCAAAAAAAAAGAAAAATAAGGAAATCATTAGGGAGAACCTGAAAACCCCCCCCCCCCTTTTGTACCAGTATGCCCCAGTTTCAAGGTAAACAAGCTGGTTGGCAATGATGTTTAGAGCCAGCAAAGATTAAATACTACATACCAGTACATTTAAACTGGGTCAGGTACTCAGACATGTATCTGTTCATTTCCACACTAGTTAATGGGCCAATTAAATAAGTTTATGGATGTTGCGTATAAAGGGTAATAGATGAGCTAATATTTTCT